CCCCCCCCCCCCCCCCCCCAAAAAAAAATCTAGCATTAAGTAGAAAATTCCATCCACTCAGTATTTCCTACTAAAGATCGTAAGATACATGTTCAAATGTGCAACAAAGAGAAATAGCATAGATTTAGTGGATGCAGAAACTTAGATACAGGGTGACATCCACATACGAGAACACCACAAGCATGAACACAGACATAATACCTCATCAGCAGCTCCAGTACCAGGATAAAACTTTCCGCCCTCATGTCTATGCAGGGATATGTACAAAACCTACCAAAACAGATATATTTACCAGAAGGAAAAGTTGATGAATCCACTAAAGATTAGGCATAAAGTAGAATCTTGAAAATAAAAAATGATCTCAGCATGTATGACACAGTCCTCATGCAAAGTGAAGACGAATTCGCCAAATTTATATCTTCTCTTGCCCCTTCCCCATCAGCTCTACTGTTTAGGTCACATCAGTAATGTCAACAAGTCAGAAAACGCCCACCATTGGCAGCCCCTATATCACCTCCATCCCTTCTCCCACTCCCCACCCCCCCAATACAAGAGAAAAGAAAGGCAACATTCTTTTTTTGGATTGTTCAAAATCATAAAGATTGACGACATTATAAGGTAAAGTAAATTGTGACATTATGTAAACAAACCGTTGGGCTACATCACTTTTTGGATTTCCCAAATGAGGCATTTTTAAAGTGAGATCAAATGACTAAAGTGCATATCATAGAAGTCAAAAAAAAATGTCAACTAAAAACTTATAAAAACTTGTCATATGAATTTAAAATCTTGGATCTGGCCTAATGTATATTATATAAACAGCATTAATTGTCGTCGAAAGACAACAATAAAACTGAAAAACTAGGCTTATCATCACAAGCTCACCGATTTGTTTTTCTCAAATATTTCCTGGGTGCCATTCCCATGATGTACATCCTGCAAGTAACATGGGAGACAAATATTTGGTGATTGAGAATATAACGTGTACAGCGCTCTATACACAAAATATTTACAGTTTTGTCAAGAAAAATTGATAAAGCAGTATTCATTACCCAATCAACGATCAAGACCTTCTTAGCTCCTGCAACCTGAGCTGCGCATGCAGCAATTGCTGCATTATTGTGAAGGCAGAAACCCATTGAATGTTTTACACCAGCGTGATGACCAGGAGGGCGAACCTGACTCATTGATGGGAAAGTAGAGATGGAGAAAATTAATACATTCGTAAATATTTTCTTTTCTGCCTATTGTAAAAGATTCTTCTCTATATAGCGATAGAAGATCCTTGGAGAATTTTGAAGGTTTGCTTACCAAAGCAAAACCGTTTTTGGCACTTCCAGAATAAATAGCTGAAGCAAGATCAGCACATAAGCCAGCTGCAAGCCTGGCAGCACGTGCTGAATGTTGGTTCGCATATGTATCAGGCGTTAAGTAGCTGTGAATAAGAAAATAATAATTTACAGGAATGAGGTTCAACATGTACGTCCACCAATAGAATTGATCCATGCACACATATAAGCATGGCCCCATTAACAGCTAGACACACGTTCAAATAAAGAAACATAGTAGCAATAAAAGCTGTATGAAAAGGATCAACAAGAGGGTAACGAATAATAATAAATAGTAAACAATTTAACATACCTGGAGAGGATATGGCTTGTAAGTTCAACAGCTTCGATATTCTCCGAGGAATGTACCTAGTAACTCCAAAATGATGCATTTATTATCTGAGAGACCATACAACTTGTTCCGCAAGTAGACAAACAAAATTTTCCATTTCCATTGGAATCTTGCAAATGACATACAAACCGACGCACTTTTTCATCAGATATAAACAAAAAATTAGCATTAGAAAATTCTTTTAGTACAAATCTGGAAAGATAGTACGGAATTCCGCTTGCATGCATAGTGCTTCTGGAATCCAATCCTGAATATGATACAGCCAATCATTATTCACACTGACTATAACTTCCACCTCTTTATCTTACCATCTGGAGTTCTTCTGGTTTAATTTCTCGTGCCAAGATTGGATAGCACCTTCCGGGAAGTATACCTGCAAGTGCTATTGAAACAATCAAACAAGTGCCAGTTTCTTTTCAAAATAATTAATAAAGGGTATATAAATTTCAACAGTGACAACAGGGCATGTGCATGAGCATCTGTTTTATACTGGACTCGTTAGTGTTTCATTTGCTGGAAGAAGGTAACAAACGAACCTGCAGTTGCAAGGCTAGCAGCAATGGCTCGAAGACGATCTGGCCTTTCTGGATGAGGATGCGACTTCATTTCAACCTTGTCAAGCAAGAAAAAAAAAACAAGTGTCATCTCTAAATAGAAAAGTAAGTATCTGCTAGGTACTACTTCCGAGCTAGCTTCTATGAATATGTGGACTGTTAACAATTACATTACTCAACCCACACACCATCAGATAGCCAAGATAATCCAGTGAATATCGTGGACAAATATATCAGACAAATAAAAAAAGGTAAGTGAAGGAAGGGGCAGTTATAACTCAAATGAAACTTGTAGAACAAAATGTTGGTTATAAGTACCATACTTCTTCATGAAGCAACATCCTTTCGTCAAATCCTATGGCAGTAGATTTGTCCGGTACAATAGTTTGCAAGCATGAATCTACATCAATAAAAATATAAATACGAAAATTGAGAATTATCATAGTGTACCAAATAGAAATATGGAAAGGCAATGGAACCTCTTATTAACTATAGAACCCACAAAACAGGAAAATCGTATCGCAGCGTCATATATGCCATTCAAGACAAGGAAACAACTATGAAAGAGGGAAGAAAAAAGAAACTTTGATGCTAAGAAAATAAGCAAAACTTCATTTGGAGGACAACAAATCATTTTTTTTGTATATTAGTAGGTAAAAATATGAAAAATGAAGCAAGAAGGCTGAGGGTAACATATAACAGACATGAGGTATATTCCAAGTCTTGTATAAGTTTAGAATCATTAACTTGCAAGCCAAAGCAACTTCTATTTTTGTTGACAATCTGATACAAAAATATTTGTAATTACGAATTAAATGTCTACTTTTGCATACAAATTTTATTTTCCTTCTCTTGCAGAGTCAAAGAATACAATTACTTGATTCAGATTATTTTGTACAAGGACAGAACCTTGCTTTGATGCAAGCTTAGGATTCCTCACCGTGGCAGGCGAAATGTGAAACTAAAAATCGTGCAAGGATTATGACCTGGGTACTGGATTGAAGTTATGTTTTCATCTCATGCTCAACCTAATCCAATATGTGTGTACATCATATAAACGAGGGCACTTACCAAGAATCTATAGTTTTTCTTAATTTCAATAACTAAGAGAAAAGCTTAGGGAACGCCAGAAAGTTGCTCTCCAGTAGTCACCTTTTAAGGTATTGAAACAAATTCCAAAAATAGAGACCTCAGGATCAAACTTTCTGTATATAAATTCCGATAGCAAGTCAGCACCTCATGTTTAATCTTGTCAGCTGCACCGAATTCCAACTCGTCAATACAATTTCTCCTGTTCATGTTCACCACTGCATTTTTTTCCTTTGCTAAGTTAAAGCCCACAGAACATGTCATGTCCCACCATTCCACCACCTTAGGCACATATGCCTCCCTGCCTCAAATCATCAAGCAAAGTAGCGGGCTTAACATCCAAACTCCCATACTCTTCCGTGTCCAACCTATAGAAATCTTCTTTTAAATAACTTTCTTTCTTTCCCTTCACCAGCTATAAGCCTGCAGACCGCATCACATGCTCGATCCACCATCCCACCACTTGAACCACAAATTCCTCATTGTAATAACATGTTTCTAATCAAAAAGGTCATAAGAATTCCTGTTTACCCCCACCATTAAGCATAATCAGTGCATAACAAGATAGAGGCCTAAGTAGACACTGCTGCACCACATTAAGGAAGATCTCCCAATAGTAAGAAACAATGAATCAATCTATGCAGGACCCGGATAGGAAATCCCTTGACCTTGCCGAATAAAACTCCCCCCACCCAAAATTAATCGACCAGGCTGACCTCGAGATAAAATTGTTGAAATCCGTTGTGGATGGAGTAAAAGACCAGCTCATCCGGGAAGCAGATGAACATAATGTTTCCTCCATCATCAAGGAGAGGAGAATTCACTCTTAACCACCAAAATGTCAAGCCATACTAAAGTAAAAAAATTAAAGCAAACGGGTCAAACTGCCATTTGGGAGAAAGTAGTAACCTTTATGTCTTTCAGCTACCTCTGTTTCAAAACCTTCCTCTTGAGAAATGGGGGAGGCGAAAAACCCATGCTTTAGTATTCCAGAATTTTTATGTTCGCCACATACCTACATCCAAAGTATTGCAAATCAAGTTGCTTAAAAATGGACTACAACTTACAAAAATTACAGGTCAATAAAACTTAAAAACAAAAAAACAAAAACAGGATTCCCTGTGTAAAACATATGCTTACATTGCAATAGTCAAAATTATCAAGATTAGCTATTGTGCAATTGACACAAAACCACTTGGCAATTTCAACGACGTGATGGTTCTCAAATGGTTCCCAATCACTGTCATCATCCTCCTCGTCTAAATCATATTGGGTATTGTACATATCCTCTAAAGTTATATCACTCTTCCGCTTCGCTTTTGCCTGCAGTAGCGACTCCCACAAAATAGTGAAAAACAACCATTTATCACGACCAAGTAGCAAGAAATCACACGCGTCGTCAACCCCAGAAATTAAAATAAAAAAAAAAGTGCAACAGGGAAAATGATAACATTAAACAAACGTATTTATAATTTTAGAAAAAAAAAACACTTAAGAGTGGATTGCTTACGGATTTGGTAGCGTCCTCTGCATTAGAATTGGGTTCTGAGTCTCCATTTTGAATATGATTTTCAGCCTCTCCATTGTTTAAACGAGTCATTTTTTGGTCAAATCCTTAGCAAACATGCGAATTCTCAGAGAATTCGAGATTTCGAGTGATGATTCGAGGGAAGCAGCCGATGAAATACTGTGGGGAGCAATACCGGCGAGCGCGAGTATCTAGTAAGTGGTTTTTTTGCAGATACACCCTCCGGTTTTAACCAATTTGATACTGTCCACAGTGTTAATTAAATGAGTGCTAACTTATATATAAGTTATTGCTTATTGAACTTATACCTTAAGTTATTACATGCTCACTAAACTTTATATGATTATTCAATGTTCGCTGATTTATTCATTATTTTACTTAATGCTCATCATGACTAATTCTATGTATGGACAAATATGTCTACCTGACAAATAAAAAAATGACGTGACACGTGAATAATATCCACCTCTTATAACCTTCCGACCAAACTTATTATTTGCAGTAGTTGCATTCCCCATTTGTGGGGAAGTAAACATATGTGAAAACGTCCACCACGGAGCTGCACCTCGATTTTTCTCCCTAGTAACAGAAGTGTTGCTCTTATCCAGGAGAGGAAGGTGATTCAGGAAAAATATGACTTGGAGAAGGTGATTTGAGAATGGAGATGTTTTAAAATTTGAAGAATATTAATAAAACTTTTTACAAAAAAGAAAATTGTATAAGATGTGGATATGATTCGTATGCCATGTCAATTTTTTGTTCACTACGTGGACATATTTGTCCGGCTGTATCCATGGAATTAGCTATGATGAGCATTGAGTAAAGTAATAAATAATTAAGTGAGTATTGAGTAACCAATGAAAGTTTAATGAGCAAGTAGTAACCTGGATTAAGTTTAGTGATCACCCATTTAATTAACTCTACTATCCATCCTTTTAAAACTTCTTAGTTTTTCACTTGTTTATTTCGATTAAATCACTCTTGATTTTCGGAGTACTCAAAATAGCCCAAATAATTTTATCATATTAGAAATGATTTTGAACATATTCCTACATCCGTGAAGAAAAGTACTTGAAGTGAAATAAGTTTGAAAGATGACAAATTAATCTTGATTGTTAACAATGGCGTTAACCGATGCAATTGGATATGGTTAAAAATGAGATTTGAGTTTAGACACTCTAGAGGTCAAACATTACAATAAAAAAGACTCTCGACAATCATTTCAAAGATTCCATGTTGGAAAACCATGTACGAACCGATTGAGTGTTATTTAGTTGTTTATCGACTTGAAATCGTTGCTTTATGCATCCTAATGCACTTCATGTGTTTTCTTTGAACGTGAAAGTTAGTACCAAATTCGATGTCATGAGATCCCCTCTAAGGCAATCTTAACCTCAATGAAGTCTGAAATTAAAAAACCTCTCATGCCTCGTCCGAACTTTCTTTTTCTTTTTTTACTAGCAACATGAATGGGTGGTACTGAGTTTGAAGTTTAAAGGATGATAATCATAGATTCAAGCATTCTCATGACTTTATCTTTGTATGATCTATCGCTTTTTTTTTTGTCTATAAAAATCATCACGATGCAGTGTGTGAATTCTTCTTGAAAGTGTTTGAATATATGTATGTATGTTTGTGTATGTATATATTTTTATTGTTTCACAATGATGTATGGTTACCAAGAAAGCGAACAATCAACATGAAGATTCGAACTAGACCATAAATACAGAAACAATTAATCCCACAGACAATGATAAGATCGTTACCCAAAAGAGACAACCAACAAAAGTCGTTGCACAGATCACCATGCACCATCCATAATACGTGCGTAATTGTGTGTAAGCATATCCCACTAGTCGTGTCGTGTTTTTCTTGACATTCCGGCTAGGACTCTACCACCCCATTTTCTATGTGCCAATTTCATAACATAGGTTAAATTGCTCACAACTTAATTTTGTGGGGACTTTAACGAAAACTATAGAGTGGGCATAGTTCGGTAGTATTCAAATATTCTTCTTGTATTGACTCCAAGGTCCAAATTAAGCACGTCTTTTAGGAGCGGAAAGTTTATGTAATTTTGTTGGGTATATGAGCCCGTTTAATTCTCACTATTGTAGAATAAGAATGAAAAATATAGCCGTTGTTGGGCCCCACATAAGATATAAAAATTCAAAATTGATGGTTTGATGTAATTAATAACGGTCATATTTTTCTTTTTTATGGATGAAAAATGAGAAACAAATGGGGCATAATATCTTATTTACTAAAATATATCTATGAAAAATCACAAGGCAAGAAAATCCAGGATTAATAATGTTTCATATCATTCTTTAAATATTAAATGATAAATACCCAGATAGAAAAATCTGTATTAACGACGACGATTTTTTTGATAATCATCTGAATCAAACCGAAATAGCTGTTCTCAATCATTTACAAGAAACAAAATTGTTTTCAATGTAATTTTTCTTCCCCAGTTGTTTGTTTCACTGCATTAACTACATTGTCACTTTATTATATAGAAGAGAAGATAAGCAAATACGCGAGTTGAAAACGGATTAATCTTAATTCAATTGAATTCATACATAGAAGTAGAATTTAAGTACAACCAAACAAGGTCTTGTTTGACTTGCTCTTATGCAAGGGCAAATTCGTGAAATAGCCTTCGCGCTTTCGCCTACTATAAGAGAACAGCTTCTTACAGGCATTTCGTCCACGAGGCCTCCAGGAGAAAACCCTAGTTCACTGTGGCTGCATTATTTTTCAAGATCTCCGTCGGCTGGCTTTCCGGTAAGCTACAATTTTCATATGTATCGGAATTGTTATAAATGTAAACATACATGTATCGGCATTGTTTATATAAATCTATTAATTTTGGATCAGATGATTGTAACAGCGGTTGAAGTGAACCTTTCTCGTGGCTTAGATTTTATATAGTTTTTTTTCCCTTTGATTTTATGTGATGTTGATAGAACCTTCTTTTTTCTTTTTATTTCTTGTTGCACTTGTAAGGAAAAAAATTGTTGAGCATAAACAGTCGTAGTTGGAGTTTTAGTTGTTTAAAATGTTAAATAACATATTAAAACTCGTTTTCTATAATTCCTACGGGATCAAATAATAAATAATATTCATGCTTTTAATTTTTTTTCTTTTGTATTTTTAGTAACTTAGTTCAATATCGCTTTATCTTACTTTCTGACGAACTGATGTAATTTTTATGCTAATTATTATTGGCTCTGTTTTTATTCTGTTAATATTTGATTTCACTAGCATTGAGGATTTTTTTCTCAATTAAATTTAATCAGAATGATGATATCTATACTGTTCTTAATTATGATGCAGTCTGATCTTTAAGCAAAAATGGTGAGAGTCAGTGTCTTGAATGATGCTCTTAAGAGCATGTACAATGCAGAGAAGCGAGGGAAGCGTCAGGTCATGATTCGACCATCCTCCAAAGTCATTATTAAGTTTCTCCTGGTGATGCAAAAACACGGTATATATAACATTATGTGGCATTACATTCTCCATTTACACAAATGCGAGATTTTATCTATACACATAATTCTCAATGATGCCTGTAGGATACATTGGAGAGTTTGAGTATGTTGATGATCACCGATCTGGTAAAATTGTGGTTGAACTTAATGGAAGGTTGAACAAGTGTGGTGTCATCAGCCCTCGCTTTGATGTTGGTGTCAAGGAAATTGAGGGATGGACTGCAAGGTTGCTTCCCTCTAGACAGGTAATGTATAAAAAGGGAGTGTAAGATTAACGTTCGGGAGATGACCACTTGGTAAATATTGAGCTATCAGAACCTTGCCATATAATTATATATCTGTTCTGCACTTGGTGACTTTTTTTCATGGAATAATTTTTTTGAGGAATTATTATCTCTCATTCAAATACATGTATTGACATATACATCCAGTTAAGTCCAACAAGCACATCCCAGATGGGTATGGAAATGGATCCTCAATTGCATGCACCATTCCTATAGAGACAAATTTGCTTTAATATCTTTTTAATCCGAAATGAAGTTATTTTGTCTGGTTGTACCCACGTTCTATCCATCTTTCCCCCAGTAGATCGAGCTAACTGTACCCAGTATGCTACTTAGACTTAAAAAAACTTTATCCGGCCACACCAGGTGTAGAATGGTATTGTAGTCAACCACAAGTGACTGCTAATTCCTAAGCGTCTAAAAAATTGACTATAATTTTCTTATATTCTGCCCTTCAATGTATATCTTTTTCAGTTGTTTGATTGTCATATTACTTTTCAGTTTGGATACATTGTGCTGACCACATCTGCTGGCATCATGGACCATGAAGAGGCTAGGAGAAAGAATGTTGGTGGAAAAGTGCTTGGCTTCTTCTATTGAGCTATTTGCAGTTTTGAGAATGAGTTTGAAATCCTGCATCCACAAAAAAATAGCTTTTTGCGGCAATTTTGGAAGTCCTTTAATGCTCGAGTAGCTGTGTTTGCTTTTCTTTTCGTTGCTCAGAAATTCTAGTAGGGATTTAGCTGAAATTTTCAGATGTTATTGCCTTCATTGACTGCTATTTTGTGGCAAAGAGTAGCGACTGTTCATTTCTTTAGTTCGATATTGAATGCAAACCTTTTAGATTATCAGTTCATATTTTGGTTGTATCCATAGTTATCAGACTCGATCTGGACAATGTAGCGGGTCAATGATTTATTAGTTCAACTGGTGAACCATCGGGTCAACGCATAAAAACCTAAAAAAAAATAAAAATATATATACAAAGTATAAAATTTTTTTAGGGGAAAATTTATTTATTTATTTTTTACTAATTATTTAGATCTATAAAATAAAGTAAAGTAAAATGTTTGACCAAAATTTTTTAAAATAATATGTTTATAAAAGCTATAAATCATTCATTAGATATAATATAAGTTATTGCACATGAATAATATTAAAATACTTTATGGTCAAATGGTGAAGAACTCATTATTTTTCTTAGAGGTTCAATGTTCAATTCTCTTAGATCCAAAAATTTTGTGGGTGTATTTCAAAATTCAATCAAACCGATCAATGGGGTCGGGTAAATCGTCGGTTAACTTGGTCAAAGTTCAATTTTGATCGAGTAATGTACAGTTCTATCAAATTAATCTGCTCGATCCGTTTAAAGGTCCGGATTGTCGATTTTCCGGCTCAGCTGATCAAGTCAAGTACATTTCTATCAAATTAATCTGCCCCGCCCGATCAAGGGTCCGGGTTGTCGGTCTTCCAGTCCGATCAATCGGGCCAGGTCGGGTTTTATAACTGTGGTGGTATCTGTCATCCGTATACAAGTTTTGTTGTCAAAAATGCAAAAAAACATTTAATTTTTATTTTTATTATAAAGGGCAGCTTCTTGAAAAGCGAGCAATTTGGCCAATATGAAATGTAAATATCTCAAATTCAATGGGATAATAGAAAAGGACACTATCTTACTACACAACTCCCTTTTTCTCTTGTAAGTATACTTATAATTTGTTCAATAGATTACACCTGAAAAACATGGAAGATTCCAGAGAAACTGAAAGGGTTAATAACGAAAACATGAGCTATCAGAACCCAATAGAGAGATTTTGATTAGGCCAAATGACATTTGAACTAGAATTTCATGTTAAGAACCTTACCTAGAGGCTGGTAATTTGCAATAACATTATCATGCTTGTAACTAGTAATGTAATCTTTGGAGTATGATTCTTCACGCAACTCGGCTAAAGCAGCCTTTCTTCTTTCCTGGTGTTCCTTCCACCTCCTTTTCTGCTCTTCAAGTTCTACTTTTGCCTTCTCCGCTGCCTCGGCTCTGCTTATGGCTTGTTCTGCTCTAGCCCTGAGCTCTCCAATTTTTAATATCGCAGCTTCTAACTCTTTCTTTGAGGTCTTCAACTCTTGCTCGTTTGAATGTATCGGCTCAACAACTTGGTCCACATGTTGAGCCTTCTTGATCAAGACCTCGTATTCTTTTCTTGAAATGGTGACGTGAACCTCCATTCCACCACCTGTTTCTTCGTATTTTGCCTTTAACTCGCCCTCTACAAGTTCCATACTCTTCGTATGCTCATTGGCCAATTTCATTATTTCTTTTAGCTCTCGATTCTCTTTTTCGGCTTCTTCAGCTTCTAATGCTAGCTCTTGAACTGCATGATATAATGCTGATTTTTCACTCTGAGCTCTTGCTTCAGCAGCCTCGACTGCAGCGAGTTTAGATTTCCCTTTATGAAGTTCAGATTTTAGTAATGATATTTCGACTTGCACTTCTGTATCTCTTTCTCTATTCACAGCCATCTCAGTTCTGATCTTCTCTAACTCGGCCATCATACTTTCTACATCTCCGTTCAACCGGCCTACCTCCTCGTTTGCATTCCTAAGTTCCATCTTTGATCGTTCAAACTCTGTCTCAAGTGAAGTGATGTAAGTAGCAGGATCCAAACTCTTTCTTTGTTGCTGTTCCATTTCTTCTTTCAGCTCATTTAATTCATGAATGGCATCAGCAGCAATTTTCTGAGAACAACTGTATAGCTCGTTTGCTTGCTCGAGTTCCAATTGTAACAAATCAGTGAGTATCGACTTTTCCAGAAGCTGTTTTTCAAAATCATCCACAATTGCAGATAGCTTTTCTGTGCATTCTAGTTGTGCTTCTGCTTCAACTTCTTCGACTTCGTGAGCTTTCAGCTGCAAATGGAAAATAGTTTCGTTGAGTTTTGAAATATTCCTTAGAAGTTCTTCGGTTTTTAGTTTCTCTTCTAGTAAAGCATTTTCCATCGCCTCAACTTGCTTTGTGGACTCAAACTTTATAAGCGCATCAAGTGTTTCCGTCTTTAGAATTTGTCCTTGGCTGGTCATATACTCATTTGTAACATGTGAAAGCTGCTTTTGTACATTCTCAAACTCGAGTAATTTATCTGATATCTCCTTAATGGTCGATTCCAGTTGATTTATACGAGTATTAGATTCTTTGTATTCGTCAATGTATTTGATCTTCACAGAATCGGAATTCTTGAGCAAGGTCGAAAGTTCATGTTGTGTTTTCTGATAATGATCTAGCTTAAGAAGAGCCTGCTTATAGGCCAAATCCTTTGCCTCCAGCTGAACTTTTACACTAGCATATTCTTTTAACAGGCTTTCCACTTCTCTCTCCTTTTCTAATTCCTGCTGCAGAAAACAATTGAGGAAAATATGCTGTAAGAAATATTGATTTAACTCGTGGTTAAAGGGTAAACTTCCAATTTGGTTATGAGCCTGTTTGGTAGGATTTTTGCTTTTATTTTTACATATGTTTCCTGTTAAAGAGTTTCATAAGAAAGTTACTATCATGATTCCCATTGCAAAGTATGAGATTTGAATCCCACATAAAAAAATATGGGCTTTTGTTGTGATTTGTATAGATTCAGGCTCTCCAACTAGCTTCTTAGGTATGGCTTTCCCAAAATCTATATCAATGTTATTAGAGTAGGCACTACGTCCCCCGGTTGCAATAGAGCGGTGTGGATGGTGACGCCAGCATAGTAGCGTTCATCCGAGACTAGTCGTAAGCTAGTGCTAAGCCAGTCCGACAACATGGGCGTCAGGATCGTGGAGCGTTGTGGATTGTCATAGTTCTCATTGCAATGTATGAGACTTGAATCTCACATAAAAAATGTGGGTTTTTGGTGTGTGATTTATATAGACTTGACACTTTAATTTCAATAACTAACTTTTAAGGTATGACATTCCTATGATCTATCTCAGCTATCATAAGTTAACTTCATTTAAAAACTCTTCTAATAAAACAAAACATAAACTTTCTTTAAAAACTCTTTTAATAAAATAAAACATTTTTAGAAAATTATTCACGTGTTGTTCAAAAACAATTTCTTAGCGTCGGAACCAGTTTTTAACTTTTCAAAAGTCTTGTCAAATGGCTTCTGTGTATAGAATCAATAATCAGGATACAATGGTTTGGGATACAACTCGTTTAGATATCTCAAATTTTCCATACAAATATATGCAATACTTCATTCTTCACAAGTCTATTCTTTTTTTCACTGAACAACTAGATTACAATTTGAAAGGATTCACATTGTTCTAAACTTTTCTAAATTTAGATATCTCAATTTTTTCGATACAAATATATGCAATACTCACGTCATTCTTCTTAGCCGTAGGGCTATCTTTTGATTCACCGAACAGCGAGATTGCAACGCGAACGGATTCAATTGGTTTGGTATCAATCTCCCCCATACTTGCAAATCCTGAAAATGCGTAAAAACCAGTAGCAAAAACTGGGTTAAGGAAATTAAGAAAATCTGCTGTTGGGGAGAAGAGGTGGCATGAAGACTCCATGGATTTATCGTAGCACTAGGTTATTGGAGAAATCTGAGGTGACCTTTTTTGTCTACATTGATGAATTCGAGGCATATAGATTAACAAAAATCTTTGTAAAGATCGTCCGATAAAAAATTCAGAAAACTATATGATGGATTTAGCGAAGTGTCCCACGAACTTTTAGGCCCCGTTTGATAGGCGTTATTTTTCAGGAAATTAGGAAAATATTTTCCAGTTCCAACTTTTTTGATCGTTTGATAGGCAAAATTTTCCAAGGAAGATATTTTTCCGATTTCGCCCACACGTGTGCATTTTCCGGGTTTTTGAGGTGGGAAAAAATTTTCCAAGCTAGATGCAAATTTTTTTTTACAATGGAAACAAATGTTATAACTAATGGTAAAATAAAATTTCACTTTAATGGATAATTTCCATGTAAAACAAAGTCAAACGAATACTAAACTTTGATAAAAAAATGATTTTTTAGGAACCAATTTTTTTTTTCCTATTTTTTTGGCAATTGAAACAAATTTTATAACAAATTGTGGAAAAAATTATGACTTTAATAGACACTTTCCATGTAAAACAAAGCCAAACGAATAGAAAATTTAAAAATTTTTCGAGTGGAAAATTATACCAATCAAACACACTTAATTAACAATTTCCTACAAAATATTGTATAAGCAATTATTTTCCCTACAAATCATTTTCTTTCCACCATTGCAATCAAACGCACCCTTATTGTGTCATCTCCTAAAGTATAAATTAATAATATTGTTAAAATGCATAAGATAATAAGTTTTGAGGAAATTATGTGGGTTACTCATTTTAGTTCTGAAATTCCAAATTTATTCTACCTTCTTTTTTATTCCCAAAATATTACTTCTAATTATTGATTACTTATTTTTCAATTTGAGATGTATGTGGCGGGATGGTGGCACGACATGATGTTGCGGTGCTGCGATGGTGATTTTGTGGCGAGTAGTGATGATTGTGTTTGTGATGGTTTATGGCACGTTCATTAGTATTGGAATAACATGCTAATTATATATATATCGCGGCTCGCCACAAAATCACCATCACATCACCGCAACATCATGCCACGCCGTGCTAAATTTTTTATGTATGTACATATTTTGATTCTATATTAATTGTTTTTTCTAATTTATTTGTTACACATATTTGATTAAAATTAATAATACACGTGAAAAGACACTTCTGAAATTAAAAAAAAATCGTTTGTTAATAAATTAATAATTTTTCATAGCTCTAAAAGTATTATTTTACAGAATTTTATCGACGCTTCACATTATTTTTGATATAAATTTATATATCGAAATCAGATAGTTACTTGAAAGCAAGTTTATGCCAATGAAGTGTAACGGCAAGACATTATGCAGTTTCAAGACATTTATATGCAGCCCATAGTGATAGGTCTGAGCTATTTGTAAGTGAGCTTAACAATTTGAAAAATAGACTCAATGACAAGGTTAAAAAAAAATAGGAGAATACATAACGTAACATAATTGAACAGTTTTTAAAAAAGAAAAAAATATTATCCACACAGGTGCTGGCAACGCAGCACTTGTCCTCACCTCTGTTTTTAAATCCCGTCCGAGTAGCGTAATTCTAACAATATTGGGATAAATCATTTGATGTGACATCTAAAACTTAAGTACTTTATTTATGCATATGTCTTAACACTTTAGCCATATTCAAAAGAAACAATCGTGCCGATAAACTCATAGGGAAAAATGTAAAAAAAAAAAAAGTATGTCTCAAATAGGCACGTACAAATTAAGGGTGTGTTAGAGCCACGTTATTTTAAAAATATATTTTAAAATAGTAAATTGATAGAAAATGTGTAGTTAAAAATGAGTAGAAAAATGAGAATGAAAATTTTAATATGGCTCAAACATGGGCTAAATGTGTACTTAATGTTCACTATACACATTCAAGCTATTCGGTCTTTAGCTTGATTCTCAGGGTCCGTTTGATTAGTTTAAATTCTATGGAAAATGTCACATTCAAGGATTTCAATTTCTACTTTCACTGTTTGATACGAAAGTAAAAATGGAATTCAAATTCTAAGGTACAATCACTTTAAACTTGTTTTTTTGTCAATTTTATGAAAAATGAATTCATACGAGGTACTTGAATTTTTGTTTTCCAACTTACATGAAATTGGAAACCTTTCCACATTTACCAATCTAACGGACCATAAGTCTCTTAACTTGCTTAGCCACTGTTTGAGCCACATTAAAATTTTTATTTTTGATCTTCTACTCATTTTCAACTACACACTCTTCAATAAAATAATATTTTTCATCACATCAATAATTTTTTCTTCTTTTTCAACCACACATTCTCCATCATTCTACTATTCCAAAATATATTTTTCCAAAATAACGTGACTCAAACACACCCTTATAATAAATCTAAACGGTAGAGATCCATCATATTCAAGAGTTGACATTGACATATAGACCCAATAGAGTTTTCTAGTCTAATATCTGATATATCTACAAAAAATAAAAATAAAAATAAAGAACGGAGAGAAAAACTCCAAGGTACAATCTCTAATGCACACGGCTCAACTTACTTTGTCTTATACTCCCAATAATTCCCACAACATAACTGCACTGAATACGCCGAATACAAGGTTTTGTGAGATACGAAAATGTCGGACGAGGAGCACCATTTCGAGTCAAAGGCAGATGCCGGAGCCTCCAAGACCTACCCACAACAAGCTGGTACCATCCGCAAGAATGGCTACATCGTCATCAAAGGCCGCCCTTGCAAGGTATATATACAGTCTTGCGGTTCCATATTTAAAGTTCTAAGAATACAGCCTTGATGTTTTTGTATTTAAACGAGGTTTGATTTTAGTTTTAAGAGCATACGGAAGAATTTGTTTGTTGATTTCTGAATATGTTGGTTAGATTGTGATATGCAGGATTTAGGGTTCTCTTTTTTTTTTTGTTTCCCGATCTATAAGCTTGGATCTAACTATAATAATAAATATTGGCGTTGTTGCTGTTGTTTTTTTCTTCTTCACAAGGGTAAATGGCTCGTTTAGCTTTGGTTTGGGGAATGATATGATCATACGGATAGTCTTTTGTTGTAAACATTTCTTTTGATTTATATAGGCGTGGGATCAGATACGTGGAGAAATTCAAATTTTTTAATTTGGTCTTCTCTGATTCTAATTTCAAAACCCTAGTTCATTCAAAAGCTCTTTTACAGGAATAATGAAATATGGTTGATCACATTGGTTTAAATATTAGGCTTATTAAGAAGTTCATTTCACATATATGTTGTCAGAAATCTTCAAAATTCAGTTTTTGATGGATAAAAATGTTTATTAGCTGTGACTAAGTGATAGAGTGAATTTGCCTGCATTCATTTTTAAGTAAATTTTATGAAAAATGGTAGCACGTGTTGTTGCATCATACTTTGCAACTGACAGTAAGAAGACAATGGGAGGGGCCTTTGGCTGGAGAGATGGACGATTGAATAGATTGCAGTTAATCTGTTGTGATTTCAGTCGTTGTTACTAGAAAATGAGTTGTTGTTAAGGTGTGGTTTTATATGCGAGTGTAGATTATTTGCACCTGTTAAGTTGGAATTCTGGAGCAAATGCAGCTGTGGGCACATACTGAGAGCGAGATGAGAATACTGTTTTTCCTTCGTTCACTCTTTTGGATAAACCAAAATGTTATATCTACTTACCGTACAGTGGTTTGGGTAATCTAGCATTTTGTTGTCTAGCTGCTTTTTTAGTGGCCATTTTTGGTTTGAAAAATTTAATTTACTTGGCCTTTGACCAAGCATTTTGTGTCGTCTGGGTTCTTCTTCTTCTTCTTCTTTTTAAGAATTTCTGCCTTTCTGGTTAAAGTGAGTGTTTCTTTTTTACAGGTGGTTGAAGTTTCAACCTCAAAAACTGGCAAGCATGGTCATGCTAAATGCCACTTCATCGCCATTGATATCTTCACTGCTAAGAAGCTGGAAGATATTGTCCCATCTTCCCATAACTGCGATGTATGTTTGTATTTAACGATCTCAATCATTTTACTTCCTCTTTTTTTTTTCAATGCTCAACCTTTTTTCTTTGCTTTCTTTTCTTTAATTATACAGGTTCCTCATGTCAATCGTACTGACTACCAGCTTATTGATATTTCTGAGGATGGATTTGTATGTCTAGTTTCTTAACATATGCTTACGAGTGTTATGTTTACGTGTACTTGACTATCTTAGTTCTTGATATACGGCAGGTGAGTTTACTGACTGAAAATGGTAACACCAAGGATGATCTGAGGCTGCCAACTGATGATAGCCTTCTGACCCAGGTACCCTTTAAGGCTCCATCCTTTTTGCAGGATTTGCCTCTCATAGATTCTTTATTTACAGAATCAAATCAATAGTATAAATTGGCCCGCTTGTTATTATACCCTACATGAAAAAGAGAAGAAATGTCCACCAACTTGTTCTTGACCCATATTTCAAGGAAAGTGTATTTTGTTTGTGATATATGTGCGCCATGGAAGGAACGAGATTGCAGGTTATATATCTACTGTAATTTTTGTTTTGCTATATAAAATATATTTTCATTGTTTGTGATGTGAAAATGATCGGATTGTTAGGAAAACCTTCACGTGGTGCTGAAAGACTGCCAACGAAAATTCAATGATTTACCTTATTTGTTTTTTTGTCTTTTTAGTTCTCATGTAATGACTACCTTTCTATTTAACTGTTGATTTGAAATGGGAAGAGATTCGTGGTGAGTTGCATCTTTAAAATTAAAAGCATGTGCTGACACTTTTCTGTTTCCCGTTCTGTATTGTCAATGTTTACCTTCTTTGTGACGGCCAATTTGTACTTGACATATAATAATTGGTTGTTTGTCAACTTATAATGAGTGCAGATCAAGGATGGTTTTGCTGAGGGGAAGGACCTGGTCGTGAGTGTGATGTCTGCAATGGGAGAGGAGCAGATATGCGGTCTCAAGGATATTGGTCCCAAGTAGTTGGCTTTTGTTCTGCAAACTGTTGTTGAAATGTTCACCAAAATATATCTTGTATTACTGTTTTACTATCTTTTATATTTTCAACCCTGTTATTCCAAGTTTGTTTGGCGACTGCTTAAGGGTCTGTGGATTCTTAGACAAACCTTGTGTCTGGCATCTTGGTATGCTATGGATTTTACTGGTTTTAAACTTATCTACCATTATATGCTTCAGTGGATATCTAATGTTATGCTTTGGAAACTGAAGACACTTTTCTTTGTCATGTCATACATTTACTTTACAAGCATTCGTTTGGATTAGTTTAATGCTTTAGACGACCGAGGGCTTTGATTCTTCTTAAGAGTTAGGCTATGCTGATGCCAATGAAGTGAGAATCAGGAATATGGCACAATAGGATCCGGTGAAGAAGAGACAACCCTGTTCATGATTGCTTGGATCTCTATGTTTGGCTTGGGTTGCTTCAAAATGGGTGTAAGCGTTAAGTTTCATAGTAAATGGACGGGATGGTAGGGACTTGGGTAAGGGGTGGGATGGGGTGAATGGTACAAAGGATTAAAATTGGCACAGGCACATGTAAAGCTCAACCTGCCATGGATTGCGGTTATTTCAGACGTGTTGAAATGTTTCGGGTTATTAATACTAAGTGGTTCTACATGTTGAAAGCATGATTTAGGTGAATCTCATCCACGATGATTGTGGCCATGGTTTGACCAGCCTTTAGAGTTGAGTCGAGCTGTGTCGAATTAGGCTATTACATGCCAAGGGTGGGATAATTCAAACTAGATTGGTCTGAAATTGAACAAGAATCATACAAGTATATGATGATTCCATTAACACCTCTACTTCAATCTCCTATTTGGATAATTTTCTCAGGTTGTTAATGCCAAGCGACTCTACATATTAAAAGCATGATTTAGGCTTGTCCACTATAGTTATGCCATGATCTGATTGGCATTTAGAGTTCAGTCCAGTTGGATAATTTCCCTCTACATCAATCTCCTAGTTGGATAATTTTAATTTTAAATAATAAAATTTACAACTTCAATCAAAGATTTCGGAGGAAAAGCTTGATCTCTATTTGAGAATAAATTTTGTAATAGATAATTTTTTGAAGAATGTATGATGAAAAAGTAAGAAAATATTTTAAACTTACATGCAATATTATTATTATTTTTAAAGAATGACTCAAACAGGGCTAACATAACTATTTGGCAACCATTTCCTCCCAGTATTTGCATGGCCAATAGAAACTAGGGTTATAACCCGAATTCTCAAGTTTAAACTTCCAATTTGGTGTACATACGAGAGAGATGAGCTCAGGCTCTGGTTCTTCGTCGCCTAGGCGCACTCGTGTGGAGAAAGAAAACGAGAAGCCTTGAGCCTTTGATTCCAAGGCGAAGAGCATCTTCTGGGCCAATGCAGATATTGTTCCAGGCCACCACCCCGAGCGCTGGGGTAAAGATGCAGCAGGAATTGTAGTCTGCAGGCGTTTCTGTAACTGCCAAGGCTGCCTCTGCTTTGAGTATGACCATATCGTCCCAATTTCGTAAGGTTTCTCCTCTAGTTAGATTTGTGTGTTATTTTTATTTTTGGCTCCTTTGATTTTTCGTAGAAAATAGGTTTGCAAGGTTTTGTTTATTATGTGGCAGGTGCGGATTTTAGTCCAAGTGTTATTTATAAGATTAGATTATGAGGTGTTGGCCTATAATGAGGGCGCAGAAAATCTGCTTCGGGCTCGTAGTCATCGGATAGCACTTCTATAAATTCTGAAGTAGATGCTTTCTATAATTCTTTTGTTGGGATTTTGTGGATAATGTTGGAAGTTTTGCGCTTTTGTTGTCGTTGAATTTTGAGTGATTTGATAATTAAGTTATGCATATGAATGGTTGGGTGCTGCAGGTGGGTAGTCAGTTGCAGCGAATTGCCACATTCTTCAAACAAGTGTGAACTGAAGATGCAGCACCGACTTTATGGAAGTCACCAGAATTTTCTAGCTATAGAAATTGTGAACTCCACTGCCATAGCTAGAAAAATCTGGAAGGAGTAGTGCTGATTTTATTGAAAGAATTATCTGGAATAATGAAGGCCATATCCACCGACATTATAGAACTATGTAGAAGAAGAAGTCACCGCCATAGAAGAAGCTTCAACCACCGACCCTTTTGCCTATGTATATATGTGTTTGCCGTGTGAAGAGAGGTGTGAAAAATAGAGTGTGTTAAGTAGTGTGAGAGGCACAGCATATATATGTGAGAGATAGTGGGAGAAATAGTGGGAACAAATCTTGGTGCTGCATTTAATATAATTGTGAGGTGTGTGATTTGTTTGGTTTGTAAAAGTATTTTTGTTAATAAAATCATTTTCTTTTGGCCTTTTAAGTCAACATGAACAGGTTCAAAGCAAACAAGGAGGAAACGGATACAGCTGAGTTGAAAGGGTACTCTTGTGACATCAATTTCACAGGTATTCATAACTTTCCATTCATGATTTTCATGTTGTTTTCTTCCATCTAGTCTTGTCTATGCATTAAATTATGAGTTCTTAACATCTATGTTGGAGAATGCTACAGAATAAAAAGGACTCATGTTCTGGTGTATCCTCCAATGGTTGCGTTCTAGGTGTTGCTTCTTTCAGTCAGATTGAAGAGTGAAGACTGATTTTAGGAGTATTTGATCTTTTCTCAAGAATCAGTTAGAGCTTTACGAAAGTAACTTGCTAATTGTTAGAAGTTTTCACAGCATATGGTGTCTGTTCTATTGGGCAATGTCCATAGCTGAACTGATTACTAAAACGATATTTTTAATGAGGCTACTCATAGAGAAGGCTTACATTACAGTTAGTCAAGATACCAGAAGAATTGGAAATAAATGAAACTACATTTCTGGTCTTAAATCTCTTGGGTTTTTGTTTCAAGGATAGTCTCCTAAGGCCTAAATATAAATTCAATGTCATCTTGAAGAAATTCTCCAGCTCCATATCTGTTGTTGGACGAACCTAGTTCGCACTATAAGTAATTGTTCAAGATTGCTGGTTTGCTGCATTTTTGGCACTATTGCTGTAGCATTATGCCAGTATTAACCACTGATGTTGTCTGAGTTAACTCTTGAATATATGATCAATTGCTATTCTGAGTTCCTACATATGAATGACGAGAGCTTACCCCCATTCTGACTTGTGCTGCTGGAGGGGTTTGTGTTCTTTTCCTTATTATTGGAATTGATGTTGTGGACAAAAGGTGCAGAAGATGTTGTGGGCAACACGTATAAAAGAAGTTGCCATTTGCCTTTTGGCATACTTCAAGAGCCAATGGGGATGTAATGTGGGTTGTGACGTCAACAATTGTGGCTATAGGTGGGAAGAAGTCCAAATCACCCTCAATAATTAAATGAAATTGGGAAAAAAGGCTTCAACAATGAACAGTGAACGGTGGATTCACTCTTTTAAATAAGTAGGGATTATTATTATTATTATTATTGTATTGGGGATTGGGGTGGATCACGTGATACCAAACCCGGAGCTTAAAGGAATAAAGGGTCTGAACTACACAGTCATTCCATTATTTAGTAAGCAAACTTAAAAATTCCAGATGACACTGGAAACTTGCTGCACTACTTGCAGGGATGTTTCTATTTTCTTGCTAGGGCAATATTTTAAGACAAGTTTTCTCGTTGGCATTCCAGACAAGGTGCTTGACATTATTGAAATGGCTGTTTATGGGGATGTCATCCGGCCTGGGAATCATTGTCGTTGCAGGACTGTTGCTGGAATGCTGGGTCCAGAAATAGTACCAGTGCCTGCCAGTTGCCATGAAGTGATGATGAGTCCATGTAGCATTGAAGAACTAAAACATAAGGCTAGGACTGCAACTGAGCCTATTTGGTGGAACTTCCAAAACCGAGAACTCAGTTTACAGTTCATATCTTCTTGTTCTGTATAGGTATTCATCTGATCGAAACTAATTCGTCATATGCATTATGCAAAAATGTTATTGATATAGTGAAGTTATGATTGTGGAAGTTATAGTTACAGATTTTGCAATTGCACAAGGTCTGTATTTTAACTTGAAATTTTTGTTTCGGTTATAACATAACTGAAGACAGGAAAAAATATTAGTTCTAATCTTTAAGAGAAGATCATGTTTTGTGATCTTCCTTCGATTCAATCCATCCATCAGACTTGGTTGAGAAAACTCGAGACCAACTGCTATCATTGAGGATTATAACAATAAATAGAATGTTAACCCCTGATTTTTACTTAGTCGAATTTTTGAGCAGAACGTAACTCGATGGGTTGTCACATGTGAAAATTAAATGGAAATATGCTAGATTGAGACTACGTGGAGTGTTTTAAGATATCATGGTCCATCTATATCCTTGATACCTTCTCTTTGCCTCACATGATATCTGAACTAGATTCTTGAGGGGGATAACGTGACATGATAAAATTAGGTAATCTCTTCGACTACTTCTTTGATTGAGTTCTGGAGCAATCTATGAAACTGGTCAATGGAAATATTCATGGGCTAACCAGTGACATTGGTTGATGATCTCTATTGCATTGAAGTAAAATGAGAGATTTGTAGAATCGGAAGATGAAACCAGAGAAGATACATGAGAGAGTAGTGCGGGAGAAAATAATACAAATGACTTTTGTTTTCTACTTTGAAGAATGTAATATTTCAAGAATAAGATTTTCACCAATGCTTTTGAAATTCCTACTATATTGTTAGTCAGAGCTTGCAATCAACAAAATGCTCCTATCTATTTGCCAATATCTACGAAACAAAACTCGATTATTGAATTCGACAACACCTATTAGTGTGTTTTGGAGCCTCTTTTTTATACCTTGGTGTGGGAGGATTTCATAATGTCGTAGTATAGATAAATATTCAAATTGATTAGCAAAATAAGTGGAATCATTCAATGCTTGTGAGAAAATGCTTTAGAAAAGGTGATTTTCTATTTGAATGGAGGCACTTCTGGAGAATATTTTAGGAAGATGAGCATCCTTAAAGAACCTGAAAAGCCAAGGGAATGCAATTCCTCCCCTTTGGCATAATTTGAATTCGGCCTTTAAAATACAAAAAGTTACTAATGTCCATAAACTACACTTTCACACTCCTTTTTTAAGGTAAACTTTAAAATGTAATAACAATGCCATATGCTCATAAATCCAACCATAAGTATCAGCATTAAATATTAAAATTTTCATCATACCTCAGGAAATTCTATTCATATATCTCCCTCATGCTTAGAAGGGCTTTTGTTCCAAACCCACAAATCTAGCATGGCGAAAAAACATTCTAGTTGTTGCTTTTATTCAAGTATTTCTCTCCCTTCTCCTCAAGCTCTAGTGCAGTCGGATTCTGTTTCGGGAGACTTCAGAGACAAGTCGAATTGCTGTGACAAAGTTACAGAATTCGCCTGCGCATGCCTCTTATGTTTGTGCTGTCCATTGTCTACGGTATGGTGTTGTGTCAAAACGTCTTGCAAGAAAGGGCGCTGTTTGGCTGTAAAGGCAATGCATAGGTCTTGTTGCAGACCTGATAAAAGGATATATGCTGAGTACACATCGTTTTCAGACATCGACACAGATTATCGTGCAAGTAAACGGCATCTACTTCCCTAGATTCCTGTTCCTGGGAAGAACAGGTGCCTAAATAAGCTTTTCTTCTTTTACCAGAGAACTCCTCTTTTGCAGAATCTCATTTATTAACATAAAAATAATGTTTCATCTAACATGAAACAGATACCTTCATGTTTTGTATAGTAGGTATGTCATCAAGGAAAACAACAACACAGAAGAAACAGGGTCTCATTAAAAACCTACAAGAGGGTTGAACTGATTGTGTAAAGTGTTAACCAAATTTAATTTCGTCCAACTGTTTCTAGCATTCTGAACACCGATATTTTTCATAAACGAGACATTAGAAGAGATACAACACATAATTTAAGAGAGTTTGCAAATAGGACATGACCCTCAGTTCATGCATTGTATCTCTCCCAAATTGCACGATTTTCTCTTGGTCATGTCCTATTACATCATTCTATCAGGAGCGGAAAAGATCCCCTTGAATCTTGCGTCGCGTATCATCCATTTTATCATAATGGTAGAACTCTGTATCACAAGTACTCTAGCTTAAATAAACTTTGCTAAAATTCTTTTGGCTACATACACCGTCATCTCTCTCTAAATTCACTAAAGATCTCAGAGCGCAACATGTTTGACACTACATTAAACTAGTATAGTAACACCGGTGTTGGGTTTTTTCTCATTTGTGGTATGGCTATAGTAGCATTTTCCCACACAAATTGCTGTGACATGTTTAGTCATTAACCCATAGAAGTTGCTCATTTACCACATTCAGTGCATGTTTGCATTTAAATATGAAGGGACAAGCTGAAACAGCTATTGGATGAGCTAAACAGTTAACTATGTCAAAAGGGCTCATTGGCTTTTCACTACACAGAATTAACAAGTTATTTTTTTCTGTAAAGATATTCTCAATTGTAGATGCTGAGGATTCATTAGGAGAGACTGATGGTGGACGAGGGCGGTGCTAGTTATCCACCACAAGCTGCACCACAGCCGGCTTCGCAAGTGCTCCCATAAACACCCGAATCTGCAGCTGCATCTTTGCCTCGTGATTCTGCACCATCTGCGCATGTTGTGATCACTAATAATATGATAAAAAAGGTACCGAAAACTACACACAGAATTTGAAAAACATCGATGCCAAAGCTGGCACGTCCATCCACATCTATCAATTCTTTCCATTCTCGCACCATCTCTCTTTGACTATATTTTTCGCAGTAACAACCCTGATTGAATTTGTAGGACGAGAAATCTTGTTTACGATTTAGCACCCCAAGTAGTATACGGCCTCTTATAGTTCCTCTACAAGGGCAATCAACATGGAAGAAATTTGATGATTCTTATGTTTTTATTTTGGCAGACATTAGCGACAAGCGTTGACACGAATTCTTAATGGAATAACATTGCCACCATAAATTTGGTAGCCCACCTTCAGATACCACTCTTCTTTAATATGATGATGACGAAATTACAATGTTGTTTTTGTGAAAAAGGAGGTTATAGCATTAATATTAATTAAAATGCTTGCAGAATTTCCATTCGAGATTATATCGACTGTTTTTCACTTGGGTTCGTTGGAATTAGCAGTTGAAAGAATAAAGTCACTCAAAGATCTTGTTTTTTTTTTTTTGCTTACGATCATTTCTCCTTCGCCAAAGGGAAGTATATGATTAGAGGAGTCCTTTGTTTCTTACAAGGGAGCTTTAACCTGACCTATTTATCGTGAAAACGCGATTTTCACTTAGTCGAACTCGGTGTGTTTCTAACATTGGCATGAAAGATGTTTGAAATGTATAAATAAAGTTTCACATCTGTCAAATATAAAGTAGATGATAGATTTTTATAAGTGATTAGACTACTCCATCTCATTCGTTAACATTTTGGGATGTAATCTCAATTCTCTTACAAATCATATTAGAATTAGTCTCCAAACTTGATCGTGTAGATGCACAAACAAATCATAGAGATCAAAATTATATGATATACTTCATTCGAAGAGGGAACCATTGAAATCGTGGAAAATGAGTATCATTACTCATCGGACCATTCAGTTTGATATTTGAATTGTTCAAAGAATTTGGCATTTCCTTGACCATAAAAATAGACCAACACCCACCATTTCATTGAGCAATAACAATCAATTATACGTTCGGTGACAATGATCATAATGATTGTACAAAAATCGAAAGGACAAATTGCACCATTTTGTCCACAACCTTTAGTCCTTCAACTATCATTATAGTTGCACGAGTAATTTAAAAATACAAAAATTATCAAAATCTATGTCAAATCATGACATGATCTTTCCGCGTTAAACATTATTAAGATATTACATTTTATTTTCTAACTTTGGTGGGTGATCAAAATTAGAAGTGATTCACATTTCTACGAGAGATGAGTGACAATTCAATGAAAATTTAGTCGGATTCTTGTATTCAAAGTGCTCAAATAATAGACTAAAATCCAATAGTGGTGCCATTCCAAATACACTGAACAAACTAATGAGTGGCATATTGCCAAACCATACACGAGAATTAATGCAAAAAGTACTCCACCGAAAGGCATAGCATTCACATGCACAATAAAAATATAAAAAGACAATTTGTCGGTCCAATCTCTCGAGTGCACATCAGAGGGCACATTTGACATTATAATGCTTTCACATTGTGTACGATCATAAAAATTAAGCCCTCCTTTGATTTGATATTTTGACAAGCAACTTTGTGAAAAAATAATTTTTTAAAGAACGCATATTTTAAAAAGTAAGAAAAAATTATAAATTTACATGAATGTATGATTGAAAGTAAGTTTGAAAAAATGATTTTCAAAATATTTAAATCAAGTAAGGACTAAATATGCTTCAAAGGCAGTTTTTAGGAATGTCAATTTCGCTCGCCGGTTTGGACGTCTCGTGGCTCGGCCTGGAAAAGCCCGAGCCAACCCGACTCGAGGCTTGGGCCGAGCCCCACTTTGGGACATTGGCCCGAGCCAAGGCCAACCCACATGGCTCATTCCACAGGCTATTTTCGGCCTGCGACGAGCCAGACCTTAAAAAGAATTTTTTTTTTTTTTAAAAAAGGTAGCGTGTAGCTGCCTGATATCAAGGCAGTGTATACAGGCAGCTTCACTTCACGCTGCCGCAACTTGCAGGCGCTTAAAAAAAAATTCGTGAGCCGGCTCGGCTCAGCCGACAAAGCCCGAGCAGAAAGCTCTGGTCAAGCCTTCGGCCATCCCTAAATTTTTATGGGGCAACCTACACGATTTCTCAATTTCCAAAAAAAATCTTCAAGATTTCAATTCATTTTATTTTTATGTTTTTTTGCCCCATTTGACGTGGGTTAATTCATATCAACACCCACTTTTTTGGTTGAGAGTCCCGCTAGAATTATCGTAAGATAAGACTGTTCACGTCAAGTGGCGAAAAATCCAACTTATCATAGATGTACCACCACTTGTTCTTTAGCAACTAAAAACATATTTGGAAATTGTTTATGAACGGTTCAAATTATAAATAAATAGAAATGAATAGTAAATAGGTAAGTAATACTTATGAATTTTACGAAATATATAGATAAAAGTGATTTGATCGATTATAATCGATAGCCAAACAAAGACTAAAACTTTTTAATGTGATGATCATCAAGATATCACAGACAGTTTAAAAGATCTTAATTAAAATTGCGAAGAGAGCAGCAGAGTGATTGTCTTACCCCAGTGGCCAATAACAATAAAATGTAACTTTGTAGAAAAATTGTGGCTCACCTACCAGCCAACACAATATATAAATTCCTGTACATTTTCTCTACCTCTCTATAAATAGAACTGATCGCACTAAACTTTTTCACTCAACCACAAAAGCATTAACAACTCTTTCTTCATACCTTTTGCACTAATTCCATAAGTTCGAGATAGAAAAATGCAGGTATCTAAAGTTGCAATCTGTGCAATGGTACTTGTGCTTCTGGTTTGTGGAGCACATGTTTCAGAGGCTGCAACATGCACCCCAACTGCACTCAGCCCTTGCATGTCCGCCATCTCGTCGGGAACTCCCCCGTCGAAACTGTGCTGCAGTAAGATCAAGGAGCAGCAGCCTTGCCTTTGCCAGTATCTCAAGAACCCCAATTTAAAGAAGTTTGTTAACTCTCCAAATGCAAAGAAGATTGCTTCCACTTGTGGGGTTCCTCTGCCCAAATGTTAATGATTTTTGAGTTTTGTTTGTCTACCTAACTCGTTGCACTATCGAATAAGTCGAGATATCGACTGGTTCAGTCTCACAGAACTGGGGTGCTCAATATTCGTACTGAATGTACTAATATTTCTATTATAATCGAGATAATTGAGATTGTCTCTTCATTCTTTCTTTATTTTCTCAGCCTTCAATTAATTGGACTATAAAATCGTTGATGATAATAACCTCTCACGGTTGAGCTTATAATTGGTTAAATTACTCACATTCCCCATAATCGAGTGATTATTAAAGACACTAGATGAAGTCCACCTTTTGACAAGTCAACCAAAACAAACTTTTATTAGAATTAATTTCTCCTCCAGAATTTCATGATAACAAACGTAGGCATGTAATGCTCATCTGAATTGTAGCCTTGCAGAATATCTTGAACAATGGCAACTATTTGTTGTTGGACACAATTTCGATTTCAAGCTGACGATCTATTTCAAACCATTGCATGCGAGCCCTTTTCTCCACCGATGTATCTTGATTAGGGGCTTCATTTGCTTATCCTATCGACTGCGGCCTATTGTGCCCATAAATCGTATTCCTCCACTCATGTTTCTGTTGAGTTCATTGGGTAACTGTTAGAAAGTTGAACAACATGCTTCAGATTTGAATGCTTTGGCTAGTAGGCAAAATACCTCAATCATGCTGAATTTTGCCCATTCTACCTCGTGCATATATATTTTCGATCATACTTTAGAACACCTTCAAGATACTCTCTCTATATAAAGAACATTTTCAAATTTAGAGAGTAAAAATTTGCGTACACTCCAACAATGCATGAATTAAAAGTATTAGATTTGTAACTTATTATATGCATCCAATTTGAAGTGATTTGTCATAATCAATAACTTGATCATAAAGGTGCACACAGGTTATTAGAGTCCCATACCAATGGTGACAATTTCTTTTTAAGTCGGGGTTAAGCCTGAGAAGGCAGTGAGTAACAAGGTTTGAGTATCCAACACTCCAATTGAAGGATGTTCGGGTAAGCTTCAAGAGAATGATTAATAGTTGGAAAAGAGATAACTATCAAATATATGCTTTGGATAATGGCTACCAAAAGAATGCATATTTCAAGGGAACATGCTTGTCATTGGCCATGCTTAATTCAATTCAAGTTCTCTCATTTCATCCATAACATATAGCAAATGGATGTCAAGTCGAAATTCTTGAATGACCATATTAATAAAAGTATTTATATGATGCAACCAGACGTGTTTACACAAAAGGGTAAAACGAATGTTTTTGGGGGATATGGTATGTGACGTAGCGGAAGATTATAGGAAAGATGAACTACCTCATAAAGATGAGAGAAAACTCACGAAAATTCTTATTCAATTCAATAATTTGTCTTAAAGGGCTTACAATACATTAAATAGTAAAATCCTAGCAAAATTCGGAAAATAAATAATAAAAATAAAAAAGATATTTTTTCATAAATAGAAAAATTCGAGATTTTGACTTAAATGGAAACTCTTAATATTCAGGATCGTCCTCTAACAAACGGAATTCAAATCCGAATTTTATTGAATAAGATATTACCAAAATAAAAATTACCATAAACGGCAAAAACGCTTAATCGAGANGGTCAAAGGCCATGAGTTGTGATCCTTGACCCGTTTCCACTCAAATTAGACTATTAATTCGTCAAAAACGGACAAACCCAAAGTTATCATGAAATCATTATTTTGCCTTGTGATCCCACTTCATCATAAATTCTAACTCCTTATGCACTTCATCAGTATGATGTTGTTTTGTATGTGGATAACAAAAGGACAAGTTTAACAATGCGGGAACGAAGTTAAACAAAATAACTTGGTATAAACTAAAAGAAAAAATTAAGAAGAAGAATGGATGAAAGGATTCGAGGCAAGTGATAATACTCTTTCCTTAAGACAAATTTGTCCCGCAACGATGCTAACAAAGTAATGGTAATTGTCTCCCAAGATACAATGAATTACTTTCTTGTAGTAGAAGCACTTCAAACTATAAGGCAACCACGAATTTGAACGGATTTTTCTTTCTACAAAGAATGATTTTGAATGCAAAATTTTGGAGAGTTTTGACAAGAATTTTAATGCAAGATTCAAGAATATGATTTGAGATGCCTAAATGACGTCCAAAGAGTCCAATATATAGAGGTTGAAGGGTTGTGGTCTAAAAGACACGCCCTAAAACTCAGCAACCTTTATCAAGTATCGCAACCTTTCCTATCGTTCATCTGCCACCCATGCGTTGCTCGAGCACCAAAAGCAGAAAGTCTGTCGCTGCCGCTTGAGTGACAACCTTAGGTGCTGAAAATTTGATTTTTTCCTCCAATTTTGGACTACAATTTCTTATTCATTTGGAATTGATTTTGAGATTCGAAATATATTACAATAATCTATTCGACGAGTACAACAAGTTCGCCTATTTATTTCCATAATTTGACTACCTGATCAATTCTAAATATTTGGCCGAAATTGACACGAAAGTCACATTTCACATTTTTCAAGGTTTTATACTAAACCAATTCCATATCTTTTAAACCAAATTCCAACAAATGTAATATGCAAGCTCCAAAGATATCTATGTGAACAAAAAGGAACAATGAAATTTATTTAGTTACATGAGAACTGTACCAAAACTATAGCAATGAAAATTATTCTTAAACTAGAATTTGCAAATCATCAAAACTCTCGAATCTCCTTAGTGAAATTAATTATTCTTCGAATCTCGAATTTGCTAATAATCAAAACTCTCAAATTCCCTTAGTCCCATCCAATGGGGAAGATAAGACAGATGGTATCATCAGAAATGAATCCACGTAGTTAAAAAGCGGTGCACTTGAGGACAAGAAATCCGTAGAATTCTGATTGAAATTGGGTAAACTTTTGAAGCAAAGATTAGAAGGATCATAACAATTAGAATATACCTGGCCATTCCCCATAGTATTGCTGCTGTCATTCTCATTATTCATGATATCTTTATCAGGGTTCTCAATATTTTCATCACTTCCGGTCTTGGATTTTTGTTTAGAAGACTCGTCGTCATCCTTCGAGCATGAGCGTCCAGTGAGTTTTTGCACCAATGTCATGAAATCACGAGGGTTCGTGTGGATTATCTTGGGAGAATCAGTGTAAATGATAGCTGGGTGTTGCGGTTGAGGTTTGGACGTGGTGGCAGCCACGCCGTTGGCTATGGAGGAAGTCAATCTTGATACAGGCGATTTCTTGATAAAATGCCATTCATTTTTTATCTTCAAAGGCGATGGAGTCATAGGGTTGATTCTCTCTGTAATTTTTTTTTAAAATCTAGCTTGCATGTTTGCTACCCTTAAAGGAGTTACTTATAAGAAAATACGTAGGTTTAAAGGAAAAAAACTCAAAATGACTAACAAGTTACTTATTTTGACGTAGAGAAAAAAGTAAGATAAAAGCAGAAATGAGCCCAAACGTCCCATTTCTTCTGCAGGGTCGTGAATTCTTTCATTTTAAAATTGGTGTTCTAAAAGGCGTAATGCATAGCGATGTGTGGAGGCCAAGCCATGGGCAAGCAAGCTTAGGCGATGCATATGCGTAAAAAAAGGTTTTCTTATTTCAATATTATTTTAATTTTTAATCAATCAAAAAACCATTTAACAATTAAAAATAATATCTATCAAACATCTAAAACAGATTTGAAGTTTTATACATTTTTTCAAAAGTTTCCAACAAAAAAATATAAGTTTTAAATATAAATTAACCTTTAAATTTTAATTTAAAATAATTATAATTTTTTTTTTTAAAAAATAATGTGTGCCAAGCGGTCAACAACAATCGTTGACCGCGCATCGCACCTAAGCGTTGCCTTTTAGAATACTGATCTTTGGATACCGTTATTTACATCCATAGTTTAAAAAAAAATTATTATATTATATTTTTAATCTTATGTAAATTTACTTAAATAGATATATAAAACAAATAAATAAAAATATATCGTTCTAAATTTATCCATTAATTTTTATTTAAATAAATTCTTTTGTATCTTTTTATATTCTTTTAGAGTTTGTATTTAGCTAGAATTCTAACAATAATAAAATATCATCTTCAACTAAAATCATAAAACCCTACTAATCATAAAATAACCTCTTCAACTGAAATTAAACATAAAAATAAGAAATCAACACATTATTTTAGTTATAATTCTTTCATGATATGGAAAATGAAATCTTATTTTTTATACTTTGTTTTAAGTATTAATTTGACAGACGAAAGTAAACAAAAAATTTCAAAATAAGTTCCAACACTCGTTCAAAGATTTTTACATTACAAAAGGAAACAAACTTAAAATTACCAACCAAAAGACAAACAACCAAAATTATTAGCTTATAAGCAAAAAATAAATCAATTAATTAACATACTATTTGAAAAGGGATTTGTTTAGTTGCGTGAACAGTGTGCTCTTGAAAGAATCCAATAAATTAAAGAAAAGAGATACGTTAACTTTTGCAACTAAATATTAAAGTACAGACATGACAATATAGAAAATGAAAAGTAATTAAATGTTGATAGTGATTTGGTGAACATAATATTTTTTTTAAAAATTATAAAATTGTATTAGAGATGCATTTAGAGTGGGACGAATATATAAAATTTGTATGGACCTATAATGTTTAAAAAATGAATTTAATAAGGACAATAATGTAATTTGACGTGGATAAAAATGGTAAGTTTTTAAAATTTTAATAGGAATGAATATATAAAAATCGTGGATCTAAATAGCGGTATCCTTATCTTTAGTTGAAAAAAAAAAAAAACTTATTAAACTTGTTTGGAATAAAACATATTACTTAAAATGAAGTTTGACTTGATTTTAAGCTTAACTAAAATTGTAGCCACCATCCCCTATTTTTATCCCTTTTGCACTTATAATTCTAACTTTTGTTTCTTGGTAACTCTATTTCCAACCTTTCACAATTTCACATCTATCGTCCTCCTCGATCTAAACTGTTCCAAAAGACCGTTAAGTTTGCATGAAAAAGACAAGGTAAATAAAAGGAAAAAGCCAAAAAAATAAAAAATAAAGAAAATAATGACTTGGCATGCGGTTAGTGGTGGCAAATGGGTCGAGCGGCTTGCCGGCTCGATCGCTCGACTCGTGAAAATTCGGCTTGTGGATTTGATGAGCCCGAGCTTGAGCCGAGCAGGTTGACTCGCTAGGCGAACTGAGACTGCTCGTTCGCCCACAAGAGAGCGGCCTCGTGGGCTCTTCCAAGGCGAAGGGCTTATTTATTTTTATTTTTTAAAAAAATGTTTATCTTCAAAAAAAATCGACGAGCTCGGCTCGTGAAGACCAAGGTGCCATTTTACTTTTTCTTGTTTTTGCTCAAGTTAGAGGGTAATTTCATTTTAATGTATCACTCTAATGGAAATTTTGGATTAAAATAAAGATTGAGGAACCACGATTGTAATTTTTACGCCTCGTCACCGAAACTTCCAGTCAAAGTACCACGCCGCAGTCCACGTGGACAGAAAAGTCAACAAAAACCACATTGGTCAAATGCAAAGAAGTTAAACAAAGGCTAACATAAGCCGAAACATTACCTAAATGGTCGAAGTTGTAAGTCGAAGCGTTACATTAGGAATCAAAGAAGTCAAAGCTCTTTATACAGAAGACTACCGATATGAGGCTCCCTCCGACCGAAACCCTCTGTTCATCAGAAACCCCTGAAGCTAATTCTATCTTATGAGATTTGTAGGAAATATTAAGGTGGCTGGCCCACAATCAATGGATTTATAGTATAATAAATTTAGTGATGTGAGACTTCAGTTAAGGAAATGAGGTCACGTAGTTCTGACCCAACGATCATCATGTCGGCCAGAACTCTATAATAAGTAGTATTGGTAAAATGGATTCTAATATGCAAGAAGACACTAAAGAAAAATATTCTCAAGAATGCAGCCCTAATTTACCTAAAAATTGACATCGAAGGACAAGAAAATATGGAAAAATCCTTGTATTCATCTTTACTTTCATTTTTTTTCTCAACTTCACTTTATCTACATTCTAGTAGCTGTATTATGCACAACTTCCTAATAGATGCTAGCAGGGGCGATGGCTAACTGCTTATTAAACCTATAGGTTAGGGTCCTTAGGGAGGTCATCGCCCAAAAACAGAGAATGAGGACAGGTTTGATCAATAGGTTGGCGATATTTACTGCAGTTTTCCCTGTGTTTTATGATGGGGTCAATGTGTACAGGTTTGGTTCTATGCGCCAAACTTGACAAAATTAAATTATCTCCAAAAGACTCTTTTTGAAAAGCATATTTAGCAATTTAGAAAGTAAAAAATTTTAAGTATTCCAATATACTCTTTTATCTTTTAACATGTTTGACCCCTATTTTTTTTCAAAAAAGTGTTGGGTTTGCACGTAATATTATTTTATTGAAAAATGTGTGGTTGAAATGTGATCAAATCACAGTTCAATGATACATTTTGATGGAAAAAATGAGGCTCTACTACTCCCAAAAAATATTTATTATTTTTCCGTATCTTTTTTTTAATTATCATCCTCCAAATTATTATATTATTTTCTTCGTTGAAAATTGAAATATTTTGAATGTATTTAATTATAGAGAGTTAAACTCACTCTCTATTTTAAAATGTTAATTTTAAAGTGTTTCTTGAAATATAATTTTAAGAATTGACTCTTTAAAATAGAGTCGTTATTATGTTTAAAGAGAATGAAAATGCTCCAAGGCATTAAGTGGAACAAAAATATATATTCATGCACAGAGTCATGATGAGTTCAACTATCTAACGAGGTATAGTCATGCTTCTTTTTTTTTCAAACAAATTTCATATCACTGCAAATTTGCTGCCCCTTCTAAAACAAGTTCAATGACCAGACATGCGCAATACGTACTAAAAATATTTAGCAACGACATACATTATTACTAGAATGTTTGTTGTTAAACAAACTTATTCAACGAGGAGCAGTGTGTGCGAGGTGAGACAGATTTTGAGGCTTCACACTTTGATTGGGAAAGCCTTGAGAGGCACTTCCTTCTGTAGTGAAATCCCAAACTTCTCACTTATATCAACTTGTTCGGGTTTCATTCCTTTTTCGAGTTTCCAATCGAAGTTGTGAATAAAAGCTGCTACCATGAGATGCACCATTCTGTAAGCCAAAGGCAATCCTGGACAGATCCTCCTTCCCGAACCAAAGGGAATGAGTTCAAAATCTTGGCCTCGGAAGTCAATTTCACTGTCTAAAAATCGTTCAGGCTCAAATAATTCTGGATTCAACCAAATGGTAGAATCTCTACCGGTAGCCCACACGTTAACAAGTATTTGTGCATCTTTAGGGATTGTATAGCCATTGATTTCTGTATCATCTTCAGCCTTGCGAGGTACTAAAAAGGGGCCAGGAGGGTGAATTCTAAAGGTTTCTTTGATCACTGATTGCAGATATGGAAGTCTTGAGATGTCCCATTCTTCAACTTGTTTCTTTTCTCCAACAACAGTCATAAGCTCCTTTTTTGCTTTCGACATTTTCTCAGGATTGCGTATTAATTCTGTCATTGCCCATTCCACAGTGCTCGAAGTAGTATCTGTTCCTGCAGCAAATAAATCCTAGTATATGCAAGAAATTAGTGAACTGTATTCCTTTGCCATTTTGTAAAAATATAATATAATATAATAGGTTCCCAAAGTTAATTGGTAGCAAAATGAGGCACAAAAGTGGTTCTGTTTAGAAATTCATACAGTAAGGTAATATATTGAGTACATAAATTTATTTTACTCACCAGAAGTAAATGCTTTAGAACATCCAAGGTTAATTCGGATTCGTTTGTTTGACTGTTATCCAGGATGACTTCTAGTAAATCGTTTCTCACTGGATGATCCAGTGACTCGCTTCTTGATTTCAACCGTTGATTGATCAAATCATCAAATATTGCAAATACTTTGCTAGTGTAACTCTTGAATTCACGCTTAATACCTTGTGGATCAATGAATTCAAGAACTGGGAAGAAGTCTGCAAGATTAGGAACCGCTCCAGCTTCCATTAAACCCCGTACAATTTCTTTAGTTTCTTGAGAAGAATCAGAATTAAATTGAGCAAAATCAACTGAGAAAAGAGTGGCTGACACGAGATTTAGCGATGTTATAAATGCAGCATTACCAATATCAACTATTTGCTCATTACTACAACAATCATGCACATAGTCACACAATTTCTTCAATTTTTCTTGGCGAAGACCATGGCTTGCATCAAGTCTATGCGACAAAAACATTTGTTCTTTACAAATTTTTCGAAGATTTCGCCACTGGCTAGCCACAGGCAACCATGCCACAGACTTTTTGAAATGATCATATGCTGCTGTTGCTGCAGGAGCTGTTCGAGAAGAAAATACTCGATCATGTTTTTGTAGTACTAGTTTGGCAATATTTGGTGATGAAACGACAATTGTATTTCTGCTCCCTAACTTTAGATACATAAGAGGACCATAAATTTTGGAGAGTTTGGTTAGTGTTAGATGTGGTTTTTTGCCAAGTCGAAGAATGTTACCGATAATTGGATAAGGGTAAGGGCCTGGTGGTAACTTGCCGGATCTCCGCCTCTTCAGATTTGATCTTAGGACATACCATACTAAAAAGGATAATACTACCAGCAGAAGTGTTAGAAGATCCATTATTTTTTTCCTTCGCTGCTCTTTGTATGGCACTTAGTAGCATTTATAGGCTTAGAGCTGCAAAACGTGTTCAATTTTTTTAGTAATATAATAGTCACAGGGAAAACTACATTTTACACCATAATATTTTTTACATTTAGTATCATATTTTATTTGTAATGAAGATTAACTTTTGCTCATTGTTATATTTCTATGTTCAATAATAAGTGTATTTTGTACACTTATTTGGATAATATTACTTAGAGATTGTTCGGGAGAGATTTTTGGGGGAATCGTCAAATTATTAATTTTTACTTAGCTTGGGTTAATTTTCTTTTGTTTTAGTTATGGACTCGTTCGAAGCAATTGGAAAAGAAAGAATGCTGAAATTGAATGAAATCTACAATTTTGAAGATTAAAGTTTACATTATAGAAATTGAAAGACTAAATTGCATTAATTCTAAAGATGAGATGGACTTGGGAAAACACAAAGTTAGACTTGCAATTGGACTAGAACTGATTGGCGGCCAAGAGGGGTAATATATACACGCGCAGACAGATACGGGAAAGGGGTCTTGGGTGCTGAAATTCAATATATGCATACGACCCAAAGCAGAGAGATATAGACTCAGAAAAGCAAAAGGAGAAACGAGTGGATGCAGCAGCGGCGGCTTAAATTTTAGCCAAAATTAATTACGTTTCGTTAATTTTTGGTGACGTCGTTCCACTTTTACTTGTTTAATTTACAATATTATGTTTTGTGCTAGGATTTATGATGAAACTTGTATTGTGAATTTTTAACTCGTGATGTTATTTTTGACATTCAAAGCACGTTTTTAATTATTGAATGATCGACATGAATTTATTTTTCCCCACAATTACTTGATTAATAATTGTATGAATATTGTGGCTTGTTTTACCCTCGAGAGATGGAAAATAAGTTAGACATAGTGTCAATTGTCGTAGAGTCCGATAGGGAATAGAAATGTACCGCTATACTTTATGTGATCTTTAAGTATTCAAAAATCCATTAGTACATTTTTATATGTTCCCGTCCATCATAGAAATATAGTTGGATCATATGTAAAAATAAGTTTAATTTTACTCGAGAGAGATTGTTAAACAAATTAGGAATATTGATCTTCATAATTAAATCGTGACGTCAAATTAAAAAGTTCGAGTTAAAGAGGATTACAATAATGCATTTTTATATGTTCGTATCCATCCTAGAAATATATTTGGGTCACATGTAAAAATAGGTTTAAGTCTACTCGAGGGAGATTGTTAAATAAAGTAGGAATATTGATCTTCATAATTAAATCTTGTTATCAAATTAAAAAGTTCGAGTTAAAGAAGATTAATATAATGGGATTCGGAATCCTCGTACGCTTTTTGTCATCATATTTTTACAACACATGCATTTAATTTTAAATCTTGCATTAATTTTAATTAATTTAGGTCTTGTTTTTATACGTAGATTATTTAATTTATAGAAAAAATCATAAATTTCAATTGTTTCGGTTAAGGTTAGGTTAACTCGAACTAAACTAAATCAATTTCTGTAAAACGATACTTGGACTCAAAATTCATTTTACTACTTGTTAACGAACCGTACACTTACGGTGATTTTTAAAACGAACAAATATTTTCGTGAACATTCGACTTATTTTCATCACGTTCTTATTTTCAACATTTCATTAATTAGCTTATTTTGTCAATGACGCCGGTTTTTGTTCAAAAGTTCCATTAGAAGGACATAAAAAAGCTTATTTGCCCATAATATTTAAGTGAGCAAAAAAATAAAAATAAAAATAAAAAATGCACAAGTTCGACAAAATATTTGTTCCTAATTTCTAATAAAATATTTGGACAAAATACTTATTTCTCGCTAGTCAAGTTGGAATTCATCTAGATGTTTGAAATCTAATAAAAGCTCACTTATCTTTCTCTCTCCGCCTGCAGGATTGAAAACTCAATGATGTTATAACGCAACATACAAATTAATACTTATCATGCATGGAAAATATTTTCCAAAATTTAGGGTGTCTTTCATTAGCTTTATTTTTCATGAAAACTGTTATTTTTTCACCCAAATTCTTACTTTTTGATGTTTGATTGACATTTTTTTCATAAAAAATATTTTTCAAAAGTCGACCATGTGATCATATTTCCTCAAAAACAAGGAAAATATATTCTTTATGAATGGTAGGTTTTTATTTTCCAAGTAATTCATTCACTCACTCTCTCATCTACCCTTTCTCTTTGTGACCCATTAAAAAAATGGACAAGTATAATATTTTTTAAGTTTAAAATTAAATCAATCAAATATATTTAATTAATAATTTCCATGCAAATAAGTTCAAGACTTATTTTCTTTCCATACAAATTTAATGCTTGCAATTAAACACACTCTCTGGAAGTCGGAATTCATCCAGAAGTTTCAAAATTCAATAATTTATAATAACACAAATTAAAAATTAATACGTATTAATCACTTATTTTAGCTCTTCAAGTTGGAATTTGATTTGAAAATTGAGTTTGTCCATAAGAAAAATAAAACAAGATAATCCAATTTGAACACTTTAATCTAATTTGTTACCAATTTGAACACATTATGGGATGCCAGTAAGGTGAAGAATTGGGAAAAATTAGAACTTGGCTCCCTAACCTTTCACCAAAAGTGAATATAGTTTCCTAACCTTCAAAAGCAAAGTTATGAATCCATAACCTATTTAACTCAGAGAAATTGAACTCATGTAACCTTTCCTATTAAAGTGAGTGTTAAAAAAAAAAAAAAATTTCTAAAAATTTCTTTAAAATGACTATTATATCCTTGCCACCTCTCCTTAAGGCTGCATGACTCAGTTTCCCTTTCTTCCCTTTAGTTCAGGTAGTAAGCCACCACACTACATAAGATAGAGCTGGCGGAGAAAGCGAGCTTCAGCGAGCAGCAAGTGGACCTGTTCTGCCCAAGCTTAGAACTTCCTATATGTATTTGGATTGAACCACTAGAAAAACTTCCAGTGTGTAGGAGATAACCACCCTCCCTGCCGGNCTATTATATCCTTGCCACCTCTCCTTAAGGCTGCATGACTCAGTTTCCCTTTCTTCCCTTTAGTTCAGGTAGTAAGCCACCACACTACATAAGATAGAGCTGGCGGAGAAAGCGAGCTTCGGCGAACAGCAAGTGGAACTGTTCTGCCCAAAGACATTCAAAAGAAAATGAAAAAAATAATGTAATTGGAATAGTTTAGTATACATAGAAATTAACCTTCTTCTTCGGAGAAGAAATGAACGTGGCCAAAAATATAAAAATCAGCGTGGTGCGGGTTCATGTCTCTCGACCAGTTCAGGTATGTTCGTTTCCGATTGTAACCCCGGTCTTTTAGAGAGCTATAAGAGAGGATCTGAATGCTTGTTTGAGCTACTGATACTAGAACCGATCTCAATCATTCATGCAGTTCTTGAGCAACGATCACTCAAGGGAGTCCTTGGACTCTTTTTTTGTTGGAAATAATTCATGAAGTGAATAAAATGGGGAGGGTGAATTTTCAATTTTTTTTTTTTTTGAATAATCTCTAATCATGTTTTCCACTCATTACACATTAATTATGATGAATCTCTATGTTGGACCAAGCGGAAATTTGTGCCCTTCAACAAAAGATATGAACAATTGTCTGAACAAGGTTCTTGATTGAATGAACTTTTCCATCTTAAACAAAACCCACCAACTAATTCTCCTCCATGGTTAACAAGATTGAGGAATTCTTTCAGTAATTTTAGCTCCTGTTTGCTCTCCATTTTTTCAACATTATTTTCGACTACATATTCATGGGATTCACAACTTAGACCAACATTTTAACCACACATTTCGTCACTTTTATCAAAATATTCTAAAAATCTATTTTTTAGCAAAACCAAATTTCGGTTTATTGATAAAGGGGATTTGATTTTGCCAGATTATAGGATTTTTGGAATTTTGAAATTTTTACGTGCAAATTTGAAAAAGGTTTTCTTTGGATCTATTAATGGTTGGTTAGCGCTAGTGGAGGTGCCATAAGTGGTTGTGTGGAGTATGATAAGTATAGTTTTTATACTTATTCGTGGCGCTAAATCATGATATTTTGTTGTTTTTTGAATTAAATTTTACATAATTTATGTTAAATTATCGTTTGTAGATAAAATTTTATATTTAATGAAGAATTAAAGAAAAAAATGCAAAATAACATAAAAATGGCAAAATTCAAAGTAAGAGGCCTTGGAAGCAAGTAATTAGTTGGGCCTCAATTTGGACTTCTAATTGAATACAAAATTTGGCGGTTTAAAATTAAATAAATATATAAAAATAACATTGGGCTGGAATTTTAAAAAGAGGCCCGTTTGCTTGGATATATATACGTAGAAGAAAAAGAAAAAAAAAAGGCAGCTTGAGCTGAAGAAGCTAGCAGATTGAGCACAAAAATAGGGGTTGAATTTGATATATATTATATATACACACAACACATAGGAGGAAAACAAGAAAATCCGGCGCAGGAGGGCTCCCTTGGGGCCGGAGTATAAAGCTTGCATGGACACTGGCTTGATTGGGCATAACCCGCGATTTACCTCCACCCAGAGTTGAGGCACCGATTCTGAGTGGTACAGGATATAGTCTGGTGTAAGAATGGAAATTTGGGTATTAAAAAAAAAAAAATGGAGAAAAAGAGTCAATGATTGTGGCTGTGCTGAAAATAATATATATATACACACACCCACACGAACACGCAGGCAGCTTTTCTGGGAAGACAAAAGTCACAAAACACTGGCTGAATTTGTAATATATATTATATATATATATACACAACACGACAAGCGTGGTCGGCACCTATTCACGCAGCAGACAGAGAAGAAATTGGCAAACTAAAACTGGAGCACTAAATTGGAAATAATCACGTTTTGTCAAATTTTAATAATGTCTTTCCACTTTTACATGTTTAAATTCAATATTATGAGTGATTAAATACTTATATTGTTTGGATTGATAACGTAGCTTAAGATTTTTATTATATGTTTAATTTCAAGATTTTCATGCAATTTTAATACTCATTAATTAATTATTGTGTGTTTAATGCTATTATTTATTTGTGTAACAATTAATTGATTTATGGATAATACTGAGATCGAGAGATGATGTATAATTTTAGCTCGTGCAATAATTAACGTAAACATTATAAGAGATCGAGAGATAATTATATAAATATATAATAAGTTCGGGCATATTAATATTATTAGTGTTGCTCGAGAGAGATCACTAACTATATCAAGTTAATTCTATCGTTGACATGTATGAAAAATGAGTGAATAAATTGGAATTAAATGTATGATAAAAAAATCTAAGTGAAATTGGAAATCCTAACTATCTCATTACATAATCTTTTCTCCAGTTTTATTTTGAGTTTGTTCTTTTATTTATTAAAATTTCGCTTAAAAAACAAAATTTGATTTGATCATTAGTTACTATTTTAATTTAAATTGAAGTTAGGTTTGTTTAAAAATATATAGTAGATAATAGTCTCTGTGGGACGATATTCGAACTTAATAAATCCACTTTATTACTTGTTACGATCCGTACACTTGCGAAATTTCACGAACAGAGTACAATAGTCCTTTTACAAAAAAATAATGACTTTTAACTGTCCAACTAGGATTCTATTAACTAGGGACTTGATCTCACATTTTTATTCTTTTTATTATACCCTAAATTAAAATTTAATTAAAATCTCAAATTAAAACCAACAATTAATTTTAATCGCAAATTTCATGAGATCCACAACTTTTCAACCATACATTTCATCAACTTTTATCAAAATCTACTAAAAATCTAAATTTAATATCTACCAAACACGGACTATGTTTACCAAAAAAAAAAATACTGAAATCCAACGGCAAGAAAATATGAAAAAAATCTTGTATTCATTTTTATTTTGATCTTTTCCCCAATTTCACTTTATCTACATTCTTATTTCTAACTATATTATGTTCAATTTCCTAAGAGATGCTGGCAAGGGCCAATGTCCATTGAGTAACTTAGTGACGGATCTAATAACGTATTTGTTTACAAGAAAAGCCTCGAGCTCGATCTTTCTCAACTTCTCAATCCTGAAAATAATAAGAGAGGAAATTACACCCACATCTGTTATTAGATATCCATTTTCATAATTCCTGATTTAAGTTTGATATTTCACTAATCAGGTTTTAAAGGAATTAAAAAAAAAAATTTATTTTCATTTAAAAATCTATTTACAATAAATTCATTTATTTAACCCTACCCTAACTCCCATACCCTAAATCAAATCTTCTCTCAATCTCTCCACCGACGCCGCCGCCCGTCTCTCTGCACCACGCCACTGACGCCGCCGCCGTGGATCTTCTTCCCCTTCTATCCTCTCTCTCTCATCTCCGCTCCAGTGTGTATGCGACGCCTCGCTGCCGTTCGCGACGCCGCT